TCATCCTATACCCAACCCCTTAACCACCCCCATCAGTGGTAGCCCACTTCATATTCTTAAGGTTCCCTATCCTAGCATGTCCTCTTCTCCCTTCTCCTCACAGTTCCTCTAGGTCTTCAGCCTCTCATCTTCTTCTTGTCCCCCAGGAAACCAGAGCTGTGGAGCCAGGACCAAATAGAACAAGCTGGACGCCTAGTATTCACGCTGTCTGCTGAGGCTATATCCTTGATCCCTAGGGTGAGGTGAAGAAAGGAGCAAGAGAGGGATTAAATGCTAACAGGGAACCAGTGAGCTGGTCGGGGACATAGGCCAAGGAGGTTGAGGGAAAAGGATGTGAGTCCTGGACTGGGGAGACTTCTAAATGGACACAGGACTTTAGAATTATAGCTGCCGCAGCTGGCCCTGACCCTGTCCAGGTCTTCCCACCCTCCTTCCACTTTCTTATGCAGGAGGCCTTGGGCCCAGAGACTCTGGAACGGCTTCTAGAAAGGCAGCAGAGCTGGGAGCAGAGCAGAGTGGGACAACTGTGTAGGGGGCCATGGCTTGCTCCCAAGAAGGCAGCCCTAGTAACTGGGATTGTGCAGCCAGCTGCGGAGGATCTTCCAGGTGAAACTACCCAAATACTCTTGGGTCCAGGAGGGTGTACAGGGAACAGTGTTGAACAATGCAGTTGTTGGGGCAGAAGTCTGGGCTCCTAATGTGCTGTGCCCTTTGAGCAGTTTGCAGACTTTTTGCTCTCTGGGCTTGCATTTTCTAATCTTATGAGACCAAGGGGTTAGAGGAATGATCTTCAAGTCAATTCTAGTTTGAGGGTTCTATAGCTCTAGGAGTTTATAATTCATTGAGTTTTTAGCCCAGAATTCCCATTTTCCTGGTCTCTCATCTCTGTAAATAGCTGACTCAGCTCTAGCTTGGCTAAGTGTGGAGTTTTCTGTTGGGGAGATCCCTAGAAGGAAGGAGATATTGTAAGGCTAGAGATATTGTAAGGCTAGAGACCTTCTGCCATTAGATTCCCAGGTGACATCTTCAGTCTTTCATTTATAAAATGAAAGCCCTGTACTCTCCAATCACTTCTTGTTCTGATATCTTCTGAACCCTACTAACCTCACTGTATAATAATCCCTTGACCCATTTTGCCCACACTGTCCCATCTACAAAGGTTGGAAGGGTCATTCCATCTATAGATAGGTCTTGGGGCATATTTTAATGCTATACTGACTCCTGGCCCTGCATCCCCCCTTCAGAACCTGTGCCAAATTGTGCAGATATACGGGGGACATTCCCAGCAGCCTGGTCTGCAACGCAGATCGCAGAGATGGAGCTCTCAGACTTTGAGGACTGCCTGGCACTATTTGCAGGAGACCCAGGACTGGGGCCTGAAGAACTAAGGGCAGCCATGGGCAAGGCAAAGCAGGTTAGGGATGGAGAGACCTGAGTTTGGGGTTGTCCTTGAGGAAGCTGGCTGGGTGTGATATGGGACATAAGGGAGTAGACAGTTGGGTGAGCAGTGGGGGAAACAGGAGATGAAAGAGTTGGAAGGTTTGGATCACAAGAAGGAGGTCAAGGAATAAATATGGAGGAAAGAAAGGTAGTGGAATGAATGGATACAGGGACTAGAGTAGTGGTTAACAAATTTTATCCAAATTGTTTGGGAAACAGATTTTTAATGCTGATGCCAGGGTCCCATGCTAGACTGACTGAACAGAAATCTCTGGGAAGGAGTCTGGGCACCTGCATTTTAACAGGCACCTCAGTGAGTCTGGTGCACATAAAAGTTTGGGATTTACAGGCTAGAGTTGTTCTTCTTTGCTACTGACTAGATCTTTCAATAACACCTTAGTGAATAGTAATCCAACTTTTATTTTACTGTTAAGAAAGCTAAAGAAAAGACAAATAATTTGCTTAGTTATACAGCTAAGGTCAGAGGCAAGGCTAAGGCGCAGCATGCTGACTTCCAATCTAGTGCTTTTTCCATTCACATTGTTCCTCTCTCTCTCTCTCCTAGTTGTGGGGTCCTCCCCGGGGGTTCCGTCCTGAGCAGATGTTGCAGCTGGGTAGGCTCTTAATAGGTCTAGGAGATCGAGAACTACAAGAGCTGGTCCTGGTGGACTGGGGAGTGCTGAGCACCCTGGGGCAGATAGATGGCTGGAGCTCTGTCCAGGTAACACCTTCCCTCCTCCCTACCACTCTCCAAACTCACACAGACCCAGTTTTTTAGGTCATCTAAAGCCCAAGGAATTTTTTTCCTGTGACCCTGTCTGGTCATTCTATTTTTTCTTTCTTTTTTTTTTTTTTTTGAGACAGAGCCTCAAGCTGTCCCCCTGGGTAGAGTACCGTGGCATTACAGCTCACAGCAACCTCCAACTCCTGGGCTCAAGCGAGTCTCCTGCCTCCGCCTCCCAAGTAGCTGGGACCACCGGCGCCCGCCACAACGCCCGGCTATTTTTTGGTTGCAGCCATCATTGTTGTTTGGCGGGTCCGGGCTGGGGATTCGAACCCGCCACCTTAGGTGTACGTGGCTGGCGCCTTAGCCGGTTGAGCTATAGGCGCCGAGCCTCTATTTTTTCTTAATATCCCATGCTAGTAACTGTAGGGACTCTGTGATTTATTCACTCTAAGGCCCTGGACACATGATACTCTCTCCGGCCTCTTGTCCCTAAATCCTCCTCTTTTTCTGTCCTTTTTTTTTTTTTTTTTGTAGAGACAGAATCTCATTTTATCACCCTCAGTAGAGTGCTGTGTTATCACAGCTCACAGCCATCTCCAACTCCTGGGCTTAGGCAATTCTCTTGCCTCAGCCTCCCGAGTAGCTGGGAGTACAAGTGCCCGCCCCAATGCCTGACTATTATTTTTGTTGTTGCAGTTTGGCCAGGGGCGGGTTTGAACCCTACTCACTGAGCCACAGGCGCTGTCCCCATTCTCTCCTTTATTTTTTTTTGGGTTCTCAACCTTCTCTGTGGCTACTGGGTTCTTAGGTGTTAATAATAACAGAATATAATCCAATAGCACCTATCATTGTCTAATTGTTTCCCCATCCATGAATTCCCTGTAACTTCTGTCCTTATTCTGTGCCCCATACTCCCACCCCAGCTCCGGGCTGTGGTATCCAGTTTCCTACGGCAGAGTGGTCGGCACGTGAGCCACCTGGACTTCATTCACCTGACAGCACTGGGTTACACTCTCTGTGGACTGCGGCCCGAGGAGCTACAGCATATCAGCAGTTGGGAGTTTAGGTCACCTGTGAAGGGGGGTATAGGAAGTGGTACTGAGGCAATGGTGGGTTTACTGGGAAGGGAAGGATCATGAAGGTGTGGTCTCTTGGAGGAAGGGACTCGTCTGAAGCCATTATCTTCCCTTAGCTCATAACCACAAACCTTATCACGGGGGCTGAGTTTTCTCTTCCTTCCCACTCTCCTACAGCCAAGCGGCTCTATTCCTGGGCAAACTACATCTCCAGTGCTCTGAGGAACAGCTGGAAGTTCTGGCCCAGCTCCTTGTGCTGCCTGGTGGCTTTGGCCCAGTTAGTAACTGGGGGCCTGAGATCTTCACTGAAATTGGCACAATAGCAGGTAGAAAGGCTGGGCCACTGTTGGTGCAGTTGCCAGGGTTTGGTTTTCAAATACTGTGTGGAGGGTTGCCCTGGGATTTTCTTTCTTTCTTTTTTTTTTTTGGAGACAGAGTCTCACTTTATTGCTCCAGGCTAGAGTGCCATGGTGTCATAGCTCACAGCAACCTCAAGCAATCCTCTGTCCTCAGCCTCTCAAGTAGCTGGAACTACAGATGTGAGCTGCCATACCTGGCTGATTTTTCTATTTTTAGTAGAGACAGGGTCTCACTCTTGCTAAGGCTGGTCTTGAGCTCCCAAGCTTGAGCAATCCACCCACCTTGGCCTCCCAGAGTGCTAGGATTATAGATGTGAGTCACAGTGCCTGGCCTGCCCTGGGATTATTAAGGCAGAGATCACGGAAGTTTTGGGAAGGGGCTGGAAATGTGCTGGGGAGAGTCTATGGTAGCATACTTTGGGAGTAGTGGAGAAGCTCTATAGGTTTGAAGAGAAGCAAGTCAGTCTAAGACCGTGTTTAGACGCCCATCCCATTGTTTAAACAGCTGGGATCCCAGACCTGGCTCTTTCAGCACTGCTGTGGAGACAGATCCAGGGCCTTACTCCTCTTGCCATTTCTGTCATCCCTCCTCCTAAATTTGCTGTAAGTAATGATGGACTGGGGTCTAAAGTGAACACAAGAGGAGCCAGGGCCCAACAGGAACTACAGAGATGCATTGATTCCTGTCCCTGCCCCCAGGTGGTGTTCAGTCCCACCCAACTATCCAGTCTCACCAGTGTTCAGGCTGTGGCTGTCACTCCTGAGCAAATGGCCTTTCTGAGTCCTGAGCAGCGACGAGCAGTTGCATGGGCCCAGCATGAGGGGAAGGAGAGCCCAGAACAGCAGGGTGAGTTTCCAACTACACAGCTTGACCCTCCATCTTCTGACCCACAACCTGACCCCTAACTTGGTACTGTCTGGTTTTTAGAACCCACCCAGGGAGGTTCCTGGAGTGAAGGGGTTGACAGGCAGAGAGCTACTTTCCAAGTATCAATGCTTCTTAGGAGCAGAGTTGTGATATTATCTCATTCCCTGTCTCATTTTAGGTCGAAGCACAGCTTCGGGTCTCCAGGACTTGTCACAACCTTCCTGGGATCTGGCACTGACCATTAGCTTCCTTGTCCACCTGCTATCAGCCTGTCTGTACAGTTGAGGGATATTGTTAAGTCATTAAATCATAGTGAATAAAGTGCAAACAGAAATGCATCCTAATTATTCTCAGGAGGTTGATGAGAAGTATGGGTAAAATGCTAATGCTTTCCACCCACCTGAGAATCAGTGTTCCTGGCATGCCTTATCCGGAGTGTCTTTCCATCATAAATACCCTACTGCCTCTTTTCATTTCCTGGAGGCTGCTCCCTCCTCATCCCCACCATTAAAAATAACACAGACAGCTGGAGCATAGCAAGGAGGCTTTACTAAGATGGAGGCAGGGGGGTGGAGTGGGGCATGTCCAGGACAAGTAGAAAGGGCCACCATTAGAATGGGCAGAAGTGCTGGGGCTGTTGAGTCATCTGCTGGTGATGGGGACTTAATGCTTGCTGTGGGTGAGAGGTGCAGGGATGCGTATATCCTGGCCTCTCTCCAGACGCCGTTCACAGTCAATCAAATAGTTTACTCCATCGATGACCAGTTGTACCAGCTCCACCTGAAGGATACTAATCCTTGATCTCTGTTTCCCACAATCTGACTTTCTTTCTTTAGCACTGACTGACTTGACTGTTTTGGGAACTCATTTCCAATTGTCTCCCAACTCAACCTGCATTTTATTTCAAATTATATTCCTGAGGCTCATTCAGCATCACATATCAACCCCTACAGACCTACACCTCTCCTCACACTAATCCCTTAGGATCTCACCTCTGACTTGCCCAGTCGGTCCAAATTAGAGATGTCAAAGACACTGCCAGTGGCAGCAGTGTCCACTCCTCCAGTGCCACGCTTTTGTAGTCTTAGATTCTCCAGGATCTTTGGGAAGCGGCTATCCTAGAGGAGAGATAGGGATTGGAGACAGGGCCAACAGAGGCAGAGTCCAGTATTACCGGAAAGAACCCTGAACCTGTTCAAAGCTCTGTCTTCTCACCCTTTATTTTTTATTTACTTTTTAAAATTAAAAAAAATTTTTTTGTGACAGAATCTCACTATGTCACCCTCAGTAGAGTGCCATGGTATCACAGTAACCTCTAACTCTTGGGCTTAAGTGATTCTCTTGCCTCAGCCTCCCAAGTATCCCAAGTAGCTGGGACTATAGGCATCTGCCACAATGCCTGGCTATTTTTTTGTTGTAGTTGTTGTTTTTTAGCAGGCCCAGCTGGGTTTGAACCTGCCAGCCCTGGTGTATGTGGCCAGCTCCCTAACCACTGAGCTACAGGTGCTAAGCCTATTTACTTTTTTTAGAGACAGGAGTCTCACTATGTTGCCCAGGCTGTTCTAAAACTTCTAGCCTCAAGCAATCCTCCCACCTTGGCCTCCCAAGTAGCTGGGATTACATGTGTGAGCCAGTATGCCTGGCTCTGACCTTTTAGCCACATCTTTGATCCTGTTCCAAAGGTCCCACTCTCTCCCCATCCACACTCCCCTTTCTCATTCACACCCTCTCTAATCCCATAACTTCTTTACTTTGCTTAGCAGGGGCAGTTTGATGTGCACTCCTGCCCGAAGTCCAGTGCCCAGGTTAGATGGACAGGTCAAGATGTATCCCAAACGCTCATTCCACATGAACTCCCAGCCACGCTCTTGGATTAGCCGCTCCACCTGAGTCCACAAAGGTTCTGTTAGTGAAAAATCAGGAATATGTAGATCCTCCCTTAGCTAGACTCATAGGAACCCTAGAAATATGTCTAGAACAGAAACTTGGGTGTGAATGAATGATATTATTCATTAACACATTATCACACATGTATGTTGTAAAATTATGATGTACATAATGGTAAGATTGTAGAAAATATCTTGTGTGTGGACGCAAAGAAACTTGAGGGAGTGATACATTAAGGGTGATCTAGAAATATGAATAGAGGTGGTAAACTGAACTGAGAAAGGATTGATTATTCAGTGAATTCTGAATGCATTGATTCTCTCTGCCCTGCTAACGAGTCTAGAGCTTGGAAGGGTCTTTTCAGACAGAAAATGAGGGTACAAGATTTGTTACAGGAAGAGGCAAGACAGCTTTATATTAGTCATAAAAGGGGCACATGTGAGAAAGCAGAGAAAAAGGTCAAAACAGAGCAGAAAAGCCAGATTCATAGGTATGTGTGTGTGAGAGAGAGTGGGGGCATGGGAACAGTATTTTTGCTTCACTTAACTATCCTAATCATGAAGATGACTATTAGCATTGAAGATGGGGGGGTCCATAAGACTGATGGGACACAGAGACCACTACCCTGAGTAAAGGGACCCTGCTTATGGTTCAGAAAGAAACACGGCATGGGGGCATATCTTACACACTGAACAAGGGGAAACCTCTTCCATCCAGAATAATAATAATGAAGCTAACACTTTAACACTCACTGAGCACCTGCTGTGGACCACGTGTTTGACCTGCATTATTTCACTTAGTCCCCACAACAACCTAACATATAGGAAATCTCATTATCCTAGGTTTCCAGATGAGAAAACTGAGGTATATGATTTAAACAGTACTTCCCTACCCACTCATAGTCAGAATATGTTATCTATTACTCGCTCAAAAATGTAGATACTTCCCAGTGAGAATCTAAAAGAGGAGCTCTCTTTCCTTGCGAGTCCAAAATAGAACTGTATATATGAGAACATACAGTAAGAATTGGGTTCACGGGGATTTCTCATGTGGAATTAAATATGGAGACCCAATCCACAAAGGACTGAGGATTCAGTTCAACCCCTCATCTAGAGCCATGTATTCTGGAACTTGAGCCATTCTATGTCTTCTCCAGTCTTCCTCCCACTCTCAGCTTAAAGCCTAGACATGATACTTTAACCAGAATGATAGAATCCAGAGTCAGGCTTACCCTGGCTGAGAACTAAGTGGTTACATTAGAATCACCAACACACCAGTCTGTCATCCCCTACCTCAATGTAGGTTGAAGCATTTTTCTTATCTGCCCACCCCACCATCCCATACCACACACTTCAGGCACTGACCTGCCATCTCAGTTATTCCTGCTTTGCATTATCTGGCAACTGCCCCCATTTAACTCCTTAGGTTCCTGAGATTCTTTCTCTCTTCCTATCCTTAGGGTGATTTTATGTCCTGGTTTTCTGGGACAGTCTTGGTTTTTCCTAGACTGATTAATGGTGACTCTTTACTATCAGCAGAGTCCTGAGTTGGTTGATAAGCTATGTGTCAATCTTCCTATGCTACCCTCTAGTTTTCCTTGTGTCCTGCTACCTAGTTCCTCTATACACTCTTCTCCAACCTCTTTAAGGCCTCGGCAGAATCTTTCAAACACTCTCTTCATGTTGCCACCCTTCTCCATGGAGATGACCCTGGTATGATCCTCTTCATTCACCCAGATCAAGAAGCTCTTCTCATTGTTGTGCCTGAGGGGAGGAGAGAGGGTGGGACAGAGCTCAAGAGGCAAGGCAAGAATTGGGAGAGATAGAGAAAAAAAGCATTTATGGGGGCATGAGGACAAAAGAGGTAAGGAGTAGCTCTGTACCAGATTCCACGGGCATCTGGCCAGTCTCGAGCCATTCCTGCTGCAGTCAGCAAAGGGGACACAGGCTTATCAAATAGAAAGTGGTCCTGAGGAGAGTGAAGGCACTTCCGTTAAGAATCCTTATGGTAGCCCCCAGCGTCTCAGAGCCCATGTATCTCATCTGGCCCAGCCTCCCATCTATTCCTCCCATCCAGCTCCCTCTCAAAAGCCCTCACGTCAATAAGCTGCTGCTGCTCGGCCTCTGTCATCTCACTAAGCCTGTAGTAACGTCCAGCCAGATCACCCTTCAGGCCACTCAGTGCATCCACCACAACACGTTCCACCTCTCTTCGCTCTGCCCGAGTGCAGGCTGGAGGCAGACTGAGTCCTCGGATACTTCGACCAGTTCTGACTCTTGATGACAATACATACCTCTCATCAAAGTAGCCAGAACGGATCTGGGGGACAAGAGAAATGAATGGAAGACACAGAAACATAAGTGGGTGGGAACTTGGGACCTTTCAGGGAATGAGAGAACTTAGATTTAGAGGGTTCTTTAGGTATTCCTCTTGTATGCTTTGGAGGGAGAGGCCCTTTAGTCAAGCACACCAATTAAAGGAGGCATTGTGTATCCTTCCCCAAAATGCCCACCTTGGGGCATGGTCATTCTCATCTCCATATATGCTGTTCCTTAAGATTTGATTCTTTCTCAACATTAAGATTAAAAGCTCAGCAGTATAATGACCATGAATCAGGAAATAAATAAAGGTGACGGGACTGGAGATGGAATGCTGTACACAGGCAATGCAAATCAGAAGTGGAATATTTGACCCACCTTACTAGCATCCAGATCAGTGGTGTGCTTCATTATCCGGGGATCATATCCATTGTGTCGTTCTTGGATCACTGGATCAAAAAGGTCAGCAAATACCTGAGGGGGATTTAAGAGGGAGAAATGGTTAAGAGGAGGGAATCCTTTCTCAGACTTCAATTGTGAACTGATTTCACTATGTCAGAAAACTTGAGTATAGATGGCTCAGAGTCTTGAGGGAAAGTGAGGGGTCTTTAAGGGGAAGAAGCTGGGATCCCTGAGAAGATGAGGTGTATCACCAGGGAGACTCTGAGGGTCCCATACCTCATAGGTCTCCTCATCTCCAGCCACCATGCCCACAGTCTTGATGAAGGGGTGGCCAGGGTTGTCCACGCCAGTCTGGATACACTGATCTAGAGTCCAACCAGTGGGTGTGGTCTTGTCGCAGAGCCGTGCATAGACTGCTGGGGTCAGGTGACTGGCCATGCAGTTGTTGTGCTTTCGGAGGTCTGGGTACTCAGCGCTGGGAAGGGGTACTCAGTAACCATAGAGGGAGGGCCGGGGCCTAGGCACAGTGTGGTCAGCTGGGAGCTGTCCAGTTAGCCATGTCTGGCTTTGCCCCATGGGAGGAGGGGGAATTAGAAGGAGGCTAAGCCTTGGTAATCTCTTTAGGGACTTTCAGGGTCTATTCTTTGCCAACAGTTCTAGCTGCCTCTGGCTGGCTGGCTCAGTTCCCCCAGACCTGCTCAGTTCTTTCCTCCCATGAACACATTAGGGATGGAGGAGGGGAAAGACTAAGGAGGGGAATTCAGGAAACAGAGAAGAACAGCAGGTAAAGGAGACAGAGGAGAGCAAAAAGGCTAGTCCCTAGCCTTACAATTAGGGATTTGGGCAGCGGTATAGCTAGAACTTGCAGGGCTGAAGCTGGTCTTGACAGGTCCCCAGGAATGCTCTTGCTTTATGGTTTTGCCCCACCCCCAACCCCACTGAGGTTTCCAAATTGTACAGCTCCTCTGCTCCAGGGCCTTCATGCTTATAGCTCTTCTCTGTGGCCCGGGTTCTCTTCTCTACCTTCACCTTCGTTCCCACCCCGTGCCCCCTTTGCACCCCGCGCCTCAGGCACCGATACCTCGGGGGATACAGCCTCCGTCGTTCACTAGCGGCTCGTACAGGTTCCGGGCGGAGCAGAAAACCAGCGGCTAGAGACCCAGCTCCGGCCAAAGCCAGGAGCCTGAGTCCTGGGCGTGCAGACAGACGGGAGAAGGGACCAGCCATCGCTTGGGGGTCCGGCTAAGGGATCCCAGAGCAGGAGCTGGCGCAAGACAAGAATCGGAAGGGAGGCTGTAACGCAACAGACTGAGGGCCGGAGCGGGTCCGAGGCTGAACCTGAAACGAGGGTCGGTGTGGAGGCTGGAGCCAGAGTGGGATCCAGTACCAACCAGACCGCAGGACCAGCGCAATGAGCTAGTGGCAGGCGGGCGGGCTGGCGGAGAAGAGGGAGGCCCGAGCCGCAGTCTCCAGGGGTGGGGCTCACACATGCCCCGCCTTCCGCCTGCCACAGCGCTAGGTATGAGCGTGCGGGGGTGGGCAGCACAGGCCAGGTAATTAGCAGGACCTGAGATTCGCACCCCTAAGGCCAAGGATGTAGGCCCACCTGGGATGAGGCCGCTCATCGGATTTCAGCACCAAGTAAAGGACAGCACCCGCGGGGACTGGCGAGCCCCCAGCACCCTTCCCCCAAGCTCCCTACGTTTAACTTGGAAACCCGATCCGTCTACTCTGGGTGTAAAAGGGTGACATTGCCCAACCTCTTCTCTGCTTTGGGCCTGCCCCAACAACCTCTCCATCTCCCCAGGGGAGGCTGCTGCGGGGAAACCGCAGAATAAACAGATACCAGAGGAAGACAGAGGAAGCTCAGGGTTAGAGGCAGACACCGGGATAGACACCCGCTGGTTCAAGGTCACCTTTTCCTTAGAATCAGGAAGAGGACCAAGGCGCCTCCTTCTCACACCTGTGCTCTTCTTTACAAGGTTGAAAAGAATTCCCTGAGAAGATCAGAGCAATATTAACACTTACTTCAGCTAGGTGTGTCTCCCACCCCCACTCTGCCCCCAGTCTGAAGCCCTGCTATTTCTTGCCTCGATTTTCATACCCGCCCCCCACTTTTTCCCTCTCCCACTCTCCACTCCATCCCCTACTTCACCTTTGATCTTACTTCTCTTCGTCTTTTCGTCTTTTCCAGGCTAAGACCTTTTTGCTGCTCACAGGACTCCCTCTGAGTAGTCCCCTCACAAGCTTGCCTACTTGTTGGTTGCACTGGGCGTGGGTCTGGGGTTGGGCAGGGAATTATTAGTTTCCTCTTCCTGATCTCCCTCCTCTTCCCTCTCTGTAGCTCCTAGTTCCTGGGCTGGAGGTGAGGTGAAGGGTGTGGTGAGATGACTGGGTGTGGGAATGGAACAGGCAGGCACAGGTTTCCAGGCACCACATGGGTTTAACCCAGCAGGTAAAGGCCAGTGGTGTGCTAGAGCATAAGGTCATCAGGGTATCTTTGGATTCCTCCTGGTCCCCTCTCCTCCTCTCCTCATAAAGTGCATATTCAGATTTGAGAGGATCATGTTTCCACGGTTCTAGGTATGATCTGACTTTTGTTCTGGCAGGAAAGAGAATGAATGCTGGAGTTGAAACAGGGATGTGAGGCTTCTGTATGGAGGGCCAATTAAGATGGAGTAGGCATGGTGGTTATTAGTCTCTTCTCTAACTATCTTGATGCACCTACAAGACAGTAAGATACATGCACGAATCTTAAGAGACCACACTGGGGAGAGAGCCATTCCCTCCACATTGTCCTCTGGCACCACTAATGAGACTCCCCACCCCACCCTATATAACTCTCATTCCCTTCATTCCCCTCAGGCTTCCCTTGCATCTTTTTTCCTACCTTCCTCATTTGTGGGTATCCTTAGAAGCATTCGCCTCTCTTTTGAGTCCATTACTTAACTCCTCCTGGTAAGACAGCAGACAGCAGAATTATGCAGTTGTAGTGTGGTCACTCTTGGACAGACAGAAAATGTTAACCTGTGTTGTGGAGGCTCTTTACCTAGGTTAAGGAATAGCTATGAGTAAGTAAATGTAATTTCTTGGAATGGTGTATGTTTAGATAAAGAAGGGAGATAATCTTCCAGAGCAGCAGGGTTGTTATTTGATTGAGAGGGTGGTTACTAAGATTAAGGAGATGGGGGTGGGAAGAGAGAATCATAGGAGGAGAAATAAGACAGCTAGAGGAGTTAGAGAAATTACTGTTTAGAAAAAAAAAAGAAATTACTGTTTAGAAAAAAAAAAGAAATTACTGTTTAGAGAATTGCTGCCCAGTATGAATTATAACTACACTGAGGCTCGGCGCCTGTGGCTCAAGCGGCTAAGGCGCCAGCCACATACACCTAAGGTGGCGGGTTCGAATCCCCAGCCCGGGCCGCCAAACAACAATGATGGCTGCAACCAAAAAATGGCCAGGCATTGTGGCGGGCGCCTGTAGTCCCAGCTACTTGGGAGGCTGAGTCAGGAGACTCGCTTGAGCCCAGGAGTTAGAGGTTGCTGTGAGCGTGATGCCATGGCACTCTACCCAGGGGGATAGCTTAAGGCTCTGTCTCAAAAAAAAAAATAAATAACTACACTGAAAAATCATACGTATTTGTGTACTTTTCTTATCTCTTGTGAGCCTCAGACAGGTCCATAATATGTAAATACTCATTACAAATTATCCTATATCATATAGAAAGTAATATGAGTATTTAATTGATTTGGTGTTTATTATTGTCAATATTTAATATTTTAAAAGCAATTTAGACTTATAAGGAACTTTTATGTTATTTCACTAACTTGAATTGGATTGTTCCAGTGGATAACTAGGGATAGAGTATACATTTTTAGAGGGGTGGCAAGAGACGTTAAATACCTGGAAGATTCTGTAATAACTCGAAGGGTTGGAGTGGTGGAGGAGGTATGAGCCTGAACATGAAGTAGGAAGGCATGTATTCTTCTTAGAGCCAGTCCTTAGAATCATTGCTATCTCCATTCAACAGATCTTGGGAGTCCATACAATGAGGCACTTGACTGGTAAAGTGGCAAGATGCCTAATGTTGAAGAGAAGAAGCAGGGACCTTGGAGCTATTTTGAGCCAGAGAAACCAAAATGAAGATGCAAGAATAATATTAAGAATGATACAAACAGAAAATACTTTCACATAATCAGTACCTATAAATTAGGCTTAATCCCTCCCCTTACAGGGCTCGCCGCTCATAGTACAGTGGTTACGGCGCCGGCCACATACACGAGGCTGGAGGGTTCGAATCCAGTGTGGCCTGCTAAGCAACAATGACAACTGCAACAGAAAAGTAGCCAGGTGTTGTTGCGCGCGCTTGTAGTCCCATCTACTTGGGAGGCTAAGGCAAGAGAATTGCTGAAGCCCAAGAGTTTGAGGTTGCTATGAGCTATGATGCCATGGCACTCTACCGAGGGCAACATTGTGAGACTGTCTCAAAAAATAAAAAAAAAATTTCTCTTACAGATAAGAAAAATGGAGGCCCAGAGAAGTCAAATAGCTTGCCCAAGCCTGTACAGTTATTAAAGGTAAGACCAGGATTCAAACCCAGTTTTGTTTGGTTCTAAGCCTGGAGGATAGAAAAAAAGCTGGGCATGGATATAGGAATCAACTTGTCTAGTCTTCCACGTCCATCCTCTTGCATCCTTCATAAATAAATCTCTGTTCTGTCCCTTAACATTCTTATCTGCTTCTCTTTGTCTTTCTCTCCAGTCTCCCTATGACTCCTGTTTACACCGTTAACCTTGTCAACTTGCATTAATTGGATCTCTAGGCATATCATAGCCTGTTTTGTCTTTTGAAACAAATGGAAGAGGTGCAATGGCACAAACTCCGCCTCTGCCCCCACCCCCCCGCGTTGGTCTCACTGGAACATTTCTGAATCAAACACCTGGACTGTAGAGACCGTAGGGCGCATCAGGTGGCATGCCCCCTAGAGCCACTAGAGGCCACCCTCCTCCGCTCAGAAGCGCCGGCCAACGCAACCTGACTGCTGCTGGTGCGCGCCCTCCGCTGATTGGTGGCACCGCAAAGAAGTCGCGCTTTGATTGGGCCGCCGTCAGGTGTCGCTGCCGGCAGGTTCGGCTGCGCGAGCGGAGGGAGGCGGGTGAGTGAGGGCTGGGGGCAGTGGGGGAGTGGCTGGGGGCTGGGGGCGGTATCCGAGGGGGTGGGCTGGGTCGAGTGGGCTCTGTGGGTACTGAGGGCCGTGGTTAGTCCCGGGTGGGGGCAGCTTCGGAAAGAGGCCCAGCGGAGAGGCCTCAATGTCAGCATAGGGAGAGTGACACCGGGAAGGCGGGGGCGGGCAAAGGCTAGTGGAGTCGCGATGGGAGGGAGGTATTCGTGATCCGGATCTGTGCGAGGCGAGGGCAGAGGAGGGGGTCGGCAAGAGAAGAGATGGGTGTGCGAGGGTCTGCGTGAGGAAGAGGGGGTCCTGCATGAGGTTGGAGGGAGTCGAGTCTGCAGCGGAGAGGATCAGGTTGGAGGGGATCTGCGCAAAGAGGGGTGGGACTGGAAGGTCAACTTGAGGAGTGGGTTGTTGCGGAGAGAGGTGAGCTTCGAGAGAAGGTGGTAGTGTGAGGAAGGACTAGATCACAGGCAGTCATTGTGGGGGGTGATTGAAGGTAAAGGAGTTACCAAGGGCGGTGACTGCTCTGAGGGTTTGGCAGACTGTTTAGAGAATTGCTGCCCAGTATGAATTATAACTACACTGGACAGTGAGTGGGAGAATTACTTTGATTAATTGAATTAGTTGACCAGTGATTTGGGATGGAGGGCAGCAGTCAGTGTTGGGAGTGATTAAGGGAGTAAATGAAGAGTCATAGCCATTTGAGGAAAGAAGGCAGAATAAGTTGACACTGAGAACATGGCATGAGCATAGTTGATCAATGTCAGAAGTAAGGAATATGTGTGAAAGATTAGAAATTGCCTTAAGAAGGATGGCATGGGTCCACTGTTGAAGCTGGAAAGGAAATAGTGCTGGTGGCCTGAGTTTTTCTGTGTTGGATGTGTTCCTGCCTGGAATTTTTATTGTTATTTCCCCTTCACTACCGGTGGAGCCTGCCATCAAGTGCATAGTGATTTAGGACATTAGAGGACTATGCCAGCAGTTTTAAGTCCTAAGAGGGTAAAGAAGTTACAAGGTTTACCCTTCCTTCTACCCTTTCTCCAGATCTGATTTAACATATAATAGATGTTCTGAGAAGATTGCCTGCCTGCCCTTCCCTCTTTGCCTTACTTACCCTCTTCTTCCTTCATTCCTTTTTTCCTTTCATATTGATTCACATCAAAGAAAGTCTGCCCTTTAGCCCAGTGTAGAGTCTGAAGTTTTCTTTTCTTTCACAACAGAGTTTTGGGGAAAGGGGCAAGGGAAGAAGAGCATATAAAACCGGGACATGGCTGTGAGAACACCAAATTAAATCCCAGCTTCTCTCAGAGGTACATCTAAATAAATCCTGGCTTATTGCACAGCTATTTCTGTCAGACTTCTATTTTTGCTTTGTTAACTATGAATTTAGACCCTTCATTTCTCTCCAGTCCTGTTATTTGTAAACAGGCTCTTCCCCATTCTGTTACTTGCTATTCCCCATTACAGAGTTGTAATAGAATTTCAAGAATATGACTTCACATTCAGTAGAAACCCAGGAAGGACTTAGTGGAAGCAGGGGTAAAGGGTTGGGCATCTTACACATGAGAGAAAGTCCCTGCTTCAGAGACTGGATAAAGAGTGTGACAAAATTTTAATTGCTTGAACTATACAGGGCCCTTGGGAATACAGTAAATCATGGAAATTGGGTCAGGTCACTGAAAAGGAATTCAAAGAAATAGCCTATTAGTCAAGAGGGAGAGTGTATGTATGAGACCGGCAGTGCACACTGAAAATATTAAGTCTAAAGAGAATGTTGTGCCTCTTGTAGTGTTTGAACAATAGAAAC